AAGTACATGTATATGCGTACTTAGGTTTTAAATATCTTAACTTTAAAGGGAATTTTATTACGACCCTTATTTTCGTTAATATTTTAAAATTACATTTNCGTACCACACATATGATGATGGTTAAAACTTGAAAAAATAAAGGCTATTTTCCGTCTTTCATTTATTCATATTAAAACAAATTAAATTATACCGTTCTCTTTATTTAATTATTCTTAAATTCTACTAAAAATTACATATTAACCCGTATGGAATTTTATTTGTATTTTTTTCCTTCAGTTCTGAAGTACATGTATATGCGTACTTAGGTTTTAAATATCTTAACTTTAAAGGGAATTTTATTACGACCCTTATTTTCGTTAATATTTTAAAATTACATTTCTGCTCCAATAATCTGTTGGATATGTGTAGTATATATTTTACCAAAAATTTACTTAAAAAATCACAATTATTTGAAATTATGTATCGCTAAAATTTTCCAATGAAAATAGGAAGGTATAACCATGATACAAAAAAGAAGGTAGTTTCAATAAACAACTTTTGACGGATAATAAAATTTTTTGAAGTTTCATAAATTGTGAGTATTATCAACGGCCTTGCCACTTTGATAATATTAAAACAATAAATCGGAGTATTTTCTTTCCCATATTTATACCAATGTAATAACATTTCAAATCAAAAACCATTATTAGTGCTTGGTACTTTTTTTTACTTACGTGGTTTTTTTATTAAAAATATTTAAAATGTAAACTGTTAAAGGAGACTTCATTGTAACTGTTCTTTTCATTTTGTAATAAAAACCACACGCGCATTATTCCGTTATTTTTTTGTTTTCTTATATTGAATACAATCTTGCGATTTAAAAGTCGAATTCTAAATAATGTTCTTCCCAAATAAAACCTTTTTATATTTTGGTTCAAATTTACTTTTACATTTCTCATCAGATTTTGCAAAAAATTAGGCTTTGTGATTAGCGCATCATCATTAAATTTCACAAATTCTTAATTTATGCAAAATACCTGAAGTCGGCTTGAAGAGATCGCCCTCCGATAAACAACTAACAGATCCTCGTTTAAAGTACAAAACCGTGTATCGACAAAATGCACAACTGTCACATACGCAGTTGCATTAATTGTTTGTAGAGAGTAAAAACACTCATATTTCAAAAGGTTCTCTTTTTTTACAAAGAAATCGCATTTCAGGACGAATGGATAAGGCTTGAGCCAAGAGCTTGTGTGAGCAAATCCCATTTTTGGCAAAAAATGTCAATTACGCGGTTTTGCAGAACGACGATACGCGGTTTTGTACTTTAAGCGACGATATGTAAGCATACACTTTCGTCATGCTTTCTGAACGTAGTCGTCAACCCCATTTTCAAAATCATGTAGCCGGCATAATTTTCTAGTTTATCATATTCCACATCGTTGAATGTACTGATAAAATCTTCTGGTTAAAAAAAAATATTTCTTCTAGTGATCAGGTAGCATGAATTTGATGAAATGTCATAATTTTATTAAAAGTCAAATAGTTAACAACAACAACGAATGTCATTAAATGAAACTACCTTCTTTTTTGTATCATGGGTAGAATAGCTGAGAGGAATTTTTCAAATTCTTGACATTTGCAAGCAATTTAATTTTAAAATTTTTCACACAAAGTCACACACACATTCTCATTTTCAATCTCAAACAACAATAACTTTGAACAATTTCTTTTTTTTACTATCAATTTTATATGATTTAAAAATGTTGACAAACTTAAAAAAAAAATCATGGCCGACGAGTTGAGAGAACGGTTTTACCTTACTATGTTTTTATCATTTTATCATAGTTTATACCATGATAAAAACATAGCAAGGTATAACCGTTCTCTCAATTTTTCGGCCATGATTTTTTTTTGAAGTTTGCCAACATTTTAAAATCATATAAAAGTGAAAATAAAAAATTGAAATTGTTCGAAATTGTTGTTGCTTGAGATTGAAAATGAAAATGTGTGTGTGAGTTTGTGAGTAAATTTAAAAATTAAATTGTTTGGAAACGTCGAGAATCTTAAAAGTGACTCTCAGCGGTTCTACCTTACTATATTTTTATCATGGTTTATACGTAAGCTATTTGCAAATAAAAATAATTTGAAACTACCAAATTCAATGTTTGTTCGATAGTGAAAAATTCTTTTTTAATATTGTCTGCTCCATTTTTTGTTCCGTTTTGCACAGAAATGAAATTGGAATGAATAGAGTAGGCATTACTGTAACGCTGGTATGCCAAAATTGCCAAAATTACAACAACCACCCCCTAAGTGACAACACCTTATTATTATTTCACCATGGTTTGGACATATGTACATATATAATTTCGAGCAATTTGAATATTTTAGTTCATTTATATGTGTGTATGTATATTTTGTGTTTTTAATTTATTTGAATTCCGACTTTTTGGCAATAAAAAAATAACAAACAACAAATACAATAAACACATTAGTTGCGTTCCAGATGCTTCACAATATTCACAAAATTCACGATTTGCAGGAACAGCTGTTTTCCCCATTAATAAACCTTATGGGAGGTGGTCACCTGGAACGACTTCCTGTAAAAACCTGCAAATCGTGAAGCATCTGGAACGCAACTATTATATGCAAGAAGTTTGCGGCACTTAGACACAGATACAAAAATAAATCGTGAAATATATGTACATATGTATGTATATCCTTTTTTAAGCGCCATTAAAGATAGCATTACAAATTATTTCATCATTATTGAGGAAATTGCGCTCATGGATCAGATACGAATATTTAAAAATTCTCTTGTATATTTTCTATTTTTTTCAATCAGCGTTGATGGTGACGAAATACTACACTTCCATGTAAATTGAGGGCTGTCGCGAAACTTTTGCACGAATAAATTTTGATAGTAGGGGTTTGCTATTTAATCAGTTGTTTTTGTAAAAAGGTTGGTATTTTATTTCAAAGTCGATCATATGACTTGAGGAAAATCCCTTTTTCTCTAAATAAAAGCTTTCTTGTGTATGCAACACTAATATTTTGTAAATGATGCAGTTAGGAATATGCGCTCTCTAGGAAGACAATATTTGGTATTGTAACGATTGTACCATGGTAAGTATTATATAAGGGAAAAATGTATCTTACTTATCTCACCTTATACCCATACTCTTCACAAACTTCGATGAAACTGTTACTGGAATGTGATTTATAAGCTTGAGATTTACCGCTACTCTTGTTTCCATTCCGGTTGCGATTGTTCGATGTGTACTCAGTGAGACGAGTAAAACGATCACCTCCGGTTTTGCCAACATTCCCATGTGTTTCCTTCAGCGGTACTTTTTGCAGCGCATTGGAGTCAAATAGTAGTTTGCGGCCAGTCTTGTCACATTCGCGATAGAGCAGAACTCGTACTTGTCGGCCATCAAAGGGAAATTGACTGAAATAAATAGAGAGAAAGACTATATGAATATGTATACAAAATTTTAATACATACATAAATATTAAGGAAGTATGAAATTGGTATATTAAATACTCATTTTGGATTTTGGGAGCAATGAGATTGCGTACATACAGTGACTAAAACAAGTGACCGCGTGTTGATTTTTACAAGCTTGTATTTAACTTGCTCTGTATCCATGTATCCAAATATTGTCCGACCAAAACCATGTAAATCAAAATTAAGGAAAATTCAAAAATTTTCATCAATATTTCAAACTTTTTCATCTGAATTTTTAGAACATTTTTGGGTATGCAGCTTTATTTATAGCCCATACGATTTTAATCTAATGAAGTGCAAGTTTCAATCGCTTAAAAATCGCGTTGATAACAATATTTTTGTGTGACATTGATTGTTTAGATATCTTTGTCGAAGATACTACGGTTTTCCTCCACTCCGAAGGACTTGGGTTCGAGCCTTGGTCTAAGCAACAACGCAAAAAAATATAGAAATAGATAGAGGGGGGACCCCTCGGCAGGCATTTCTGCCATGAAAAAAGCTTAACATAAAATTTATTTGTCGTTCGGAGGCAGCATAAAACTTTAGGTCCCTCCATTTGTGTAACAAAATCCAGATGCACGCCACAAATTGGAGGAGGAAATCGGCCAAACACTTAGCAAAAGTGTAAGGGCCAAAATATTATTATTTTATTATTCAAGGACCAAAAATAACTGTTTTCTCGAATTTACAAATTGAAAACGTTGACCGGATTCTGAAACTGAATGAAAACTGAATGAATAGTGAACCAAACTAATTACCTCGTGTTGTTGTTTTTTTTAATATTCGTTATATTTTTCGAGTTAAATTTTTTGTTATTTTTCTATTCCTTTTTACCGTCCAAGCTTTACCTAAAAACATATGTATGAATCACAGTTTCAAACTTTATACAAAATTTTGGAAAATTCAAGAAAGTTTAATCAAAATTTTAACTTCTTAATGTAAACCATTTTTGGGTATAAAGTTTCAAACGGTAAAAAAAAATATTATTTTTTAGACTACTTTTTCGGTTTTATTAATATAACAAGTGCAATTTACAAAAACTGACGTCGTTATTTTGAAATTTTGTTGCTAATGTTCTCCCGCATTTCATTTCATAAGAAATTCATGCTTATATGGAAAAAAGTGAAAAAATCCGTCACCAAAAAAAAAAAACAGAAATCTCAAAAAACAACGCCATTTTTTAGCCGTTTGAAACTTGCACTTGATTAGACTAAAATTGGATGAGCTCAAAAATTTTCTAAAGATTCAGAATAAAAAGGTGAAATTTTGATGAAAACTTGTTGAATTTTCCTAAATTTTGTATAAAGTTTGAAACAATAAAAAATGAAAACAATGAAAGCATTAAAAAATTAAAAAAAAAAATCAATTATAAATGAATGAGGTACAAAACTGCATACTCAAAATCTCTCTAAGAAATCTAATTAAAAAGCTCGAAATTTTTACGAAAGTTTGTTGATTTTTTTATATTGCAAAAAGTAAGGAAAGTTGAACTGTGGTATATAGTCAAAATATAAAAAGATAGCCAGCCCCTAAGCTACTATTCCGGTTAGAAAAATTGTTTGAGACAAATAGCAAATTGAATAAGCTTTACTAATGTAAAAAGAGATTTCAATATTGCTCAACCATGTAGATCCAAACATAATTGCAATTAAGTGAGTGCACTTTTTTCAGATCTCAAAATTTTTTCTATATCTCAAAAATGTTCATACTTTCTTATATTCAGCGGAAAATTTGAGGTAAGAATTCATATAAAACTGTCGCAAGTTATTAATTTTTTAGTTCTGTGAACTTGTGTAATTTAGCTTTTATTAATTTAATGAAGTTTTGCTGAAACTACACAAGAATCACATAATTTTTACGAATATGAAGCACGATACTCGTATAAGTAGCTCAAACCTTCCGTTTTTTGAGTTGTGACGGTATTTTCGTTTGCTGTAAGAACGCAATAAATTAAAAACTTAAAGCAAGGACAAAATGTGTAAAGCTTTTAGTTAGACTTTGTCTAATAAAACGCATTTACCAGATATCGCATGAATTTTTTGTACAATGTTAAAGAAGAGCCCACGATAATTTCGTATACTTAGCCCAAACAAAAACAATTTATTATTACGTTGTTTCCGCAAATCGCTAGCGTGCTGCTTACGCCAGAAATCGAACTAATTTTAGAGTAGCACGTGAGCATGACTCATAATAATTGATTGGTATGTGTGTAAGGTAAAACTACTTAACCCTTTCACTACAATCGTCCCATATATTGGACAAAAATTTTTTTGTACTTAATGGTATGTTTTCTTAAATAAGAGCTATTGTTTTTGAAATAACAGCTGTTTTGAAAAGTATATTCTTATTTACTGCATTTCTTTTATTGTTATTTCGGGATGCAGTTGACCGTGTTCTTTCACGAAAATGAAGTGTCACAAAAATCGCTATTTATTAATGTAGTATTTATTAATTAAATAGCCTATGGTTACAAAAGATATGGAAAAAATTAACCGACGAACACTTGCGTGCCGATTGCGATTTTCTTTCAAAGTGTTTACGCCTGGTAAACCCAAATAAAGGTTAAAATTAAAAAAAGATCAATAAAATTAATGTAAAGTCTGTGGAAAATTAACAATAAAATATTTTTTTCGCAAAATCTATAAAGGACCTTTTTATTAAAAAAAAAACAGTTATTCGCCGCCACCCTATATATGAACAAATTAACTATTTTTCGGTGGAATTGAGATCCGAAAAAAAGTTAAATGTTATTCTCAGTTTTGAAATATATTTAGCGACAGGAAAAAAGAAAAATTATTTATATCACTTCCCTGTTTACAAATCTAAAGTAGCACTGTCCAATATAATGGACGCTGAATAACGGTAAAACTAAGTTTTATTCAATTTTTGTTTAGTGGGATTCACAAAACGTCGCAAAGTTGTTGCAAATGTCGCTTTTTTTGGCAAAATTTGCCACCTTGCGACACAGGTGATTACTTTTGTATGGAAACTTTCTTGCGACATTGCCATAGTATTTGTGCTGGCAATCATTGCAAAGTCAAAGCCGCGAAACACATGTTTTTTATTGTCTTCGAATACTTTGGGAAAAAGTATATCAGTAAAGGCTGCTTCGAAACATATTTGTAATAACTTTTATTTTTCTCTAACGCGCGGCATTTTTTTTTTTATTTACATTTTTAATCCGGAGTTGCGACACAACTTGGTCGCAACATTAGCTGCTTTTTTTTTGTAAGCGAGCGACAAAAGAACGCTCAACTCGGGTAAAATTTGATTTTAGCTACTTAAGCAACCCTTTTGGTAGCTGGCAAGAAAATGTGATCAGTTTAAAGGGATTTAGTTACAAAAACCAATTTAAATGAGTAATTATGCGAGGTATTTGCGTAATATATATACTTATTTAAAATATAAGTCACGTATATAAGGAAACCAACAAAAATTTCCCTCTCCACTTTCCCATTAACAATTCACAATAGAGCAGTTTTTTCACTTAACAACACTACCCTTCTGGTCGCGTATTTTTTAACCGACCTGGCTGAACTCGGATAAATAGCCGATCTTGTGTTGTTGCTTTGCGTGTATTTCGTCATTTAAGCGAGTGTTGTTTTGTAGCTCGGTTGCAAAAGAATGTACCTATTGTCATTTCGCCAAAAATATCACTTTGTGACGTTTTATAAATCGCACTATTATATTTTTGAAATCAATGACCTAAAATTAGCCGGTAAACAAATTTTCAGATTTTTAGCTTCAGCGGCTGATGTTTTGTATTGAGACGGTTAAAAAAATATAAGGAAATGGTGATGATAACAGCGATAACGCGAAGAGGCTGTCAACAAAATTAACCGATTCCTTGGCGAACTTCCGATAACGCTTTAAATTTTTTTAAGAATATTGATCTAAAAAAAGAGATATGAGACAATTTTTCATCAATCGAACAACTCATTTAAAGATTTATAGATATCGAGATATTATATCATGCTTACGTATGCCCAATGTTACTTTAGCGGACTTATGTAGTTGTAATGGGGTATCGACAGTGGTTAGAAATGATTGTATTCGGTAATTAATTAACAAAAATTAGTTAAAAATTATTTAGTTGTCTTTTCAATTCCGCTGCATTTACCTCTGATTGCTTATTTATATGTAGATTTACAAATTATACGCGAAACTAACGGTACAATTTGTGGTTTGTTTGAGTATGTACCTATTTCAATTGAGCGGGGTTTTTGAAAACGAGCCCCCATTGTTATTATTTTAACCAAAGTTTTACATTTAAGCCGTTACATTCAACATAATGGCCCATAGTCTTAGTCGTAAGCTAAAACTCCTTCTTGTTAAAAAAGTTTTATGTTTAGAATAGATTTTTAAGTTGTGTCAATCATAGACATCTCAGAAACAGCTTTGTGTTAAGATGAGAGAGAATAGAGATATAAAAAATTTACTCGGCAATATAAAGAAATATGAGTACTTTAATTAGTTCACCCTGTGCCCGCTGCAGGATTGCGGATTTAGCAAGCCGGGATGTCGTGGATTCGAGTCCCACTGCCAGGAAATATTTGTTTTTGTTCTTTTAAATATTATTTAAATGTTTTTTTTTTTGTTTAAATTACAGTTCTTGTGGTTATTTTAATTAAAATTAAACTCCAAAAAATTTGATCAAGTTGAAATAATTATGTGAAATACTATTGCGTTTACTATTTCAACAACAAAACAAAACTTAGAACCGTTTTAAATACGCGTTCCCTCATTCTGTTTTTGCCATAAAATGCATTTTTAGTTCACTATGAAAGAGTTAAAATGGTGATTACAATAAAACACGATTTTTTAATCGTTAAAACCTTTTTTAACTTCTCTATGACTGCTGGCTTTTATATTTAGGAACTTACTTGTTGCGCGAGATAATGGAGAGCATTCGCAAATGGTATTCTGCACCAACGATGCAC